CCTCTTTGTTTTCTAATCATTTTCACAGAATTGCAGTTTGAAATTAAGACTGAAGTTTTGATGTCCAAAAAAAACAGAGAGGACTGAAGTTGATACAAAACCTACGCAGGCTGATAGAAGTCTAAACTGAATCGTTGACCGAGAGTTGACCTATTGATCAACTTAACAGCAACACTGGTTTGGTGTTTTCATAATTATATGTAGTAGTTGTCTTTCTGATAGGTATAATGTTATCATGGCATAATGCTGAAACTGATTGAGGGAATTTTTAAGTTTAGTGGTTCTTTAATTGAACTCAACATAGTAGTAATCATATAAATTCTGCATAAGCTATATGAAATATTAAAATTGCAAACGATAAATTCATCACCTAAATATATAAATAAAAACTCCGATTACTGTGATCCGTCCTCAAATTCAATGATATGTTTCATTGAGTAGAAAGCATCTCAATTTAAACATTACATATGATTTGCAAATGATTGTGTGTATTCAAAAGTTGTCCTATAATGTTATACTATATATGCTCGATGGTGCGAGATTTCCTAGCTTCTCAAAAAAAGTTGATCCACTTGATTGAGGATTTGCATGGGGTAATTGGCTTTCCGCACAACCCTTTGTTTCCTGCATAATTGTTCAAAAAGTAACGTACTTAGTCCAAAACAAAAATTGAAAAGAGAAATAAAAATGAATGAAAATATTAGTTTCCTGCATACCCACGAAGGCGCTTGCATCTAAATTGCTTGCTCAGGCTTGCCGGAATAGGACCCTCGAGCTGGTTGTTTGATACATTGAAATACTTCCATCCATTTGGGTCTTGTGGGAAATTTGGTATCTCCCCACTGAATTGGTTTCCCTGGAGATCCAATTCTGTAAGTTTAGGCAATGCAGCCAAAGAACTTGGTATTTCTCCCGAGAATTCATTTCCATCCATTTAAATTTTCTTCAATTGACTCATGCCCTCAAAAGCAATTTCTGGGATTTCACCAGTGAATTGATTGTTGGACAAGTAAACTCCTATGAGTGCACCAAGCTTGTTCACACTAGGCAGAGGACCTTCAAAGTTGTTGTTCATGATGCTTATGCTTCGTAGGGCAGACAAACCCGAAAGGGTGTCGATATCAATCATGCCCAAGAGACCCATGTTCTGCAACTTCAACCCATACACATTGCCATTTTTGTCACAGTACAAGCCTGCCCAAATGTTTATGGAGCCATTGCAGGGGTTGGTGGAGCTGTTCCAGTTATCTAGAGCTGTGTCATTGGACAAAAAGGACTTGAATTTGAGGAGGGTTTGTTTTTCTGAGGGGTCAGAAGATGACACAAAAATACATTGTTGTGCTGAGAAAAACAGCACCAAAAGCCAGTGATTAAGAACATAGGCTTTGTTAATGTGAGCCATTTGATAAGAAATGAGTTGTGTTTTTTCGGTTGAAGGATAAAATGGAGGGCTTGAAAATGGTGTTAGATTAGGTGGGTGTGGTGAAACGAAATGGGGAATTGGGTTTTTATAGAAGAACGAAAGATTTCCATAGTTTAATGATATCATTAACAGGTAACAGATTGCTCTTTTGTTCTTGTTAATGATGACAAAGCTCCTTGTTTGCTCAGCCTTGTTTATGGATATAGTAAGTCTAATATGTTTGATGCTTGGTAGGGTTTGACTTTAATGTCAATAATCTACTGTGGTCCTTTTTCATTGGGAAAACATTTCAATATATTATTGTTCAATCTTTGAGCTGATCTCTATTAATGATCCTCACTAAAACAGTCCAAGAAACACGTTTAAACAATTCGAGTTCCGATGAGAACAGAGAGTTTGGTCCTGGCAATCTTATTGTTAATGATGTTGCTGGCAGCTTCATTGTCAATCTTGTAACGTTGTGCTTAAGACAAGACAACCACTTTGCTGAGCACCCACAGCACCAGAGAGAACTCAAACGCAAACAGTGTGTGAAGCAATCCCCGATCAAGCGGAAACCCAAATAGCGTGATCCCTCCACTGTTGTGCCCCAAGTATGCCACTGCGCACACACACACAGACACACAACTATACATAAGCATCCATATCACTGCCATACAGTGTTGAAGTTTCACATGTGCAAAAGCACTCGAGTTTATTTGATATGTGTGGTTAATTTGGTTTGCAAGTGAGTGACTAGAGATATTCAAAGTTTGCCTTAAGCCTTTGTATCTGATTTGAAAGTAGGTCTTGAATTGTAGTATTGTACTGCTATAAGTAATTTTCTTCTACTAGCTAAGCTATCAAGGAATGTAGAAAGAAAGCAGACAGACCTAGAGCTTGCCTGGTTTGGAATGAGGAAGGCTCCTGTGGAGAAACTGAAGTCAAAACGTTCGATGAAAATTCTGAATCAGTCTCTCCACAACATCCATCATCCTCTGAGCTCTGCTGTTTTTTGCATTGCTGATCTAATGCAGCGGATGGACAAGTCAAAAGCATGTGCCATCTTGTTGCAATCGCTGAAATTCCTTGAGCTCTATGTGTTATTCTTGCTGCCTCCATTAGGCACAAGAACAAACCACTAAGCTCAACAGCAGAACAAACCACAAGATCCCCGGAGTTGAGAAAAGTCTTCTCTGTTTTGGATGCCAAAACCAGCAACAAGGCCCCAAACTGGCTCACAGTGACGACAAAAATGCATCCGATGATGAAGAATCGGTACCTGTGGCTCGTAACCCATAATTGTTTTCTTATCCTTATATGTTCCTGAAACCAAAGTGAAGATTACTATTGTTAAAAATATCCACTCAACAGTCTGAAAATACAGAAATATTGAAAGAGATTACATGAAAGTTTTGGCTCAAATGTATATGTTGCATCAAGGAAAAAAGATTTTTATTATCAAATATATTATTGAAATTTCAAATCATACGTACCTGGAATATGACGCTGGATTCGGATTCGCGCCCCTCAAACAGCTTGTGCAGTCCTTGAAATCGAAGTATTTGGAGCTCGCAAGTCAACCGAAACAGAACACAAACCAGCAAGAACACCCCTGTCCTATAAACCCAAGAAGCCAAAACCAAAACAAACATGATGGAATTGAGCGGGACGCTTAAGCTAATATGGGGCAGTGAGATTTTGACAGTGCAGAAGAATATGATCTTGTGTGCAAGCTCAATGAAAAAGGAAGGCAATAGTATGTAAGCTAGGCACTTGAAGGCCTTATCGAGCTCACGAGTGTATCCACGACGAACAAAACAAGTGTCATCTCCAAGACCGTCGAGGAAGAGGAGTTGTCTCAGGCCATACTTCCTGAAGAAGCTAGACAGAGTGATGAAGCCAATGGCGGCTAAGCCGGACTGGGGAAGTTGGACAAGCTTGTTGAAAGAGATGGGGTCTTCGGATGGGGATTTGAGAGAGAAGGCGGTTAGGATGGGGACTAGGATGGTTAGGAAGATGAAGGTGAAGTAGGATATGAATTTTCCAAGGCATGAGGAGTGGTCAAGTGTCCACCATTTGAGGCTCGCTCTGAAGCTGCGTAGCTCCTCAGAGCATTGGTGGAGTAAGGGAGTGTTTAGTTGATTTTGGTCTTCATTTGGGTGGCTGTTAGGGAAGTCGACATGGATGTTGGTGTTGGGTGAAGTAGTGGAGGGGTTCATGGATTGGTTTTGTGGAGTGTTGGGGTGAAGGAATTAATGGAGTCTTTGATTTTTTTTTTCTTTTCTTTTTTTCTGCAGGTTGTAAAGGAAGCAACAATGGTGGAAGAATGAGACAGAAATTGATTGGCTTTGGACAAGAGTAATATGCTATGCCTTGATGTAGATTTTATGGGATTTCCTTATGGAAGTTTCATAAAAATGGGAACTCATTTCAAAGAGCAATACGTATTTTTCATGCTAATTTCTTCTTTTGGAGGATTAAACTGTTTTTGTATTGGAAGCTCACTTCAATGCCACTTGGACCACTCATTTGCAAACACATGTGCTTCTAAGATGCATGAGGTGCCAATTAAACCCAAAACGGTGTATATATTTTACTGAAATTGGCTAAAATAGCCCATTTTCGCGACTTATATTTTAAAATAGCCCCATTTGCATTAAATAGAAATAACAACGAGACATCGTATGGTCAGGGGCTATTATAGAAATAATAAAAAATTGTGAAAAGGGGCTATTTTAGCGCAAAATCCCTATATTTTACTAGTTACATAAAAATAAAAGATTAAAAAAACCCAAAAGTTGGTAAAGAAAAAGAAAGGCCTTGCCTTTTCTCGTGAAAGAGAGCCCTTGCTTGCTTTTCCATTTGCCATTTGCCATATGATTTCATAATCGTACTTACGTTGTTTAAAACAGTATATAAGGAATCAAATGACATATATATTATGGAAAATATAAATAACAGAACTAAGAGTTATGAAAAATTGTGTGTTCTGGTTGGTCAATTTGGTGTTGTTGAAGATGGTATTAATAAACACGGGTCCATTGACAAAAACAGGAAATAATTATTACTTGCTAATGGTCTCAAACTCCCACACGTGAACCCCACTCCACCCTTAAAGGTTTCAACACCGTGACACCATACCCGTGCACATTGTACATGACAGCAATCAGAACAGCACATTAACAATACAACTCAAATTTGGCATTGTTGCCAGAGGTTTGTTTCAACTTGTTCACAATCACAAGTCATAACCGTGGCTGTCAACCGTTGATGCATATGAACGAGTGCATACTCACACGCGTCAACCATTGATGCATATGAACGAGTGCATACTCCCACGCGTAATTGCGTTATTGGATACTAAGAAGTTCACTTGATTTGAGGAGATCTATTAAGAAGTGTCTAGCCATAGGAAAGGATATTTATGGAGCGGTCAATATGTACTAAATGCAAGTCTGATTCTCTAGCTTGCATGTCAATGATAATCTGTCCTTTCTCTTTTCTAGGATGACAAACTTACCTTGTTCTTTCAACTAAAGAGACTGGTCTATAACACGAAACAGACACACCTAAACTGGTCTTCAATAGCCAAACAACACAAAATAAGCTACCTCCAACATCGCATTAGAACTTTACGATAAATATCCTAACACCAAAATGTTAACCATTAAAATATTGACATTCAGTAAATTAGAAAAGGGGGGAGGGGCTATTCACATTCCTGGACAAGCTGACGGAGCTGGTCAAGAGTCTTCACAATATCTCCCAGACATGCAATAACCTGATCCCCTTGGCGTCTAACAAGATCAGTTTGAGGGTCCCCGGTGCTCTTCACATCGGCTGCCTCATGATCTGCATTCTCATTAACAATGGCCTGGATTAGTTCTACATTTTCATGCAATTGCATAACTGCAATTTGCTCCTGTTCTTCAATGCTGATAGCCTTCTCTTCTATTTGACTATTTTTATGTTTCTTCGCACAGCTTTTTTGAGACATTTCTTCTGCCAGGCTCTTCTGAGGAATTACTTCTAAGCAGCTTCCCACAGGTTTTTCTTCTGCGTGGGTTTCTTGAGGTTTTTCCTCTGCACGGGTTTCTTCAGGTTTTTCTTCTACATGGGTTTCTTCAGGCTTTTCCACCTTACATCTTCTAGATGAATTTTCTATTGGACAGCTTTTCTGATGTGTTGATCGGCGTCTTCTCCTCTTGGACTCTAATAATATACAGGACAACTATAAGAACATAACTGGTGATGAAGCATAGAACTAAGGCTTACAGAACAACATGCTTGTTATGCTTTTTCACAACTCCAAGCACAAAAAACAATTAAACCATAACTAAAATTCACTTACTCACCCATTACTCAAAAGTAAGCAAAACTTATGCAGTTGACCGGTTTTCACATCACAAATTCAACCACCTTAAACCTTCTACAACATCCAGTACTAATTTATTGCATCTTGAAATGGTACGCACACAGCAATTGAATAATCAAGCTTGCAAACAAGAGAACTAACTAGTAAGCGTTTGTGCATATCTAAGCTGTCATATGTCACAACTTACCCTTGTTTCAAAAATATTCATGCTCAACAACACTCTACCTTTATGATCCAAGTTTCAATGAAGGAGATAACATAACCATTCACCTCCAAGAATCATACGCAAACTAAACAAGAAACTTTGCAGTTTTATTTACTACTTGGATTGTAATGTCTTACATTTACATTATGTTCTGCTCTAAATTTTAATGCTCATAAACTCGTAATCCTCTATCCGTTTCGAGAGTGCCCAATATAACATCATACTATATGAAGGAGGCTCAACATCACCTTCCCGCTTCTTTTTCCTCCAAATAATGAGCTCAAAATGTAAACATACATTCAGCATTCAATGATGTCAACACAAAATCATTGGCGCAAAAGAAATCAAAAATGCAAAAACCACACAGGCAATTGATAACTAATTTGACAATGCAGCACTTGAATATCAACACAGATTTCCATTTGGGGTTGGAGAAAAATCATACCTGGCTCTGCAACAACATCAGGCACATCAGCCTCAGCATCAATCTCAGCTTCTGGATCACTATCCGGGTCCGTATCCGATTGGTTCCCCCGAACCCTCACAAGATTATCAATGGCTCTGAACAACTCATTATCAAAATTCTCAGGCAACCCCTTCTGCTTCCTCCTTCCAATTTCCAAAACCCAGTACGAAGCACCGCCTCTAGACGCTGACTCCCACTGCGTGATGCTCTTGTAATCGAGAAACAAAGCGTCCCATTTTCTGCGATACTGATCCAAAGTCCGCGGGACGCCCAAAGCAGAGCAGTTTTGAGATATGATCTTCCATTTCTGAAATGACGAAAATGCTTTCAGACAATCGGCTTCCACAGCAGCGATCTCGTTCACCAGAAGGAGCTCGTCTGTTGAATTCCAGTCTGGTGCTACTATCAGATGTAATAGGGTGTGATTTTTTATGGGGTTTGGTATTTATATCACCCACTGAAAAGTCTCACAGAATACATCATTTAATGAAATACCTCAAAATCGGTAAGTTTTTTAATACCACCGTACTTTTTCTAATCTTTTGAAAGTCCTTATTGAATACCACCAGACTTGCATTAATGATTTTAAAATCCTAATTGAATACCATCAGATTTTTATTGATTACTTAAAAATCATAATTGAATACCACTAGACTTTTAAGCTTAAAAAAAATCTATTAAAATCCTAATTGAATACACCCCCCTTAAGTGACTATTTTGGACTAGTTAAGCTAAATATTCTGGATATTAGGTATAACCTATATTATTTTGGAAACATTTCTTTAATAAAGATTCAAACCCTACATTACAATACTACATGATATATGCCTAGTCAAATTCAGTTGATATTGTTTGAGCCCAAGTTCATCTATACATTTGGAATGCTTTTAAGTTGGTGTTACTATTGGGCTCGAAGAACATAAACATGTGTTTTTGACTCTTTCTATATTCAGATACACATGTTTATGTTAATCTAAAATGTTGCTATTGGTTTCTATGTCTCACTGAATATGGCACAGCAGTTTTTTGGTTGGACCTTGATAGCGTTAGTCAATTTTTGTATGCAATGGCGGAGCAAGACGGGTACATATGAGGGGTTAATTAGCATAAAATTTTCAATCTATGTGAATTATTATTTTAAATGATGAATGATCTATATGAAGGCTGGGGATCCATGACCAAAAAAACCCAACTGAGAGCTTTGTTCCTCGTCCTCCATTTTGAGTCCCTAGCTTCTCCCCACTCGAAAATGGGTGTTTTTTCCCTGGGCTATGTCTCAGATCTTAGGCTCCTTATCTCCGCTTTGGTTTTCTTTAGTTTTTTCCTAAGTTAAGCCCATCATGTGAGACCCTACATCTTCCATCTCTTCCTCTCATTTCTTCCCCAACCACCTTCACTTCTCACCCTCCACTTCTTACATCTATACTCTACTCATCTCTATTGTGATGTTGCCCACCCATGGGCAGTGACTTCGTCGCCAGTTCTCAACCACCACCCTTTGTTCCTCAATTTTGCGTCTATCGCTCCCGTTGTTCTTCCTCGGTGGTGTGTGGTTGCGATTAAAGTGCATCCTGCACTTGACTCTTGGATTATGAGGTCGTTTCCCCCCGAGTGGCCTGCTCATCCCCATCTTCTGTTGGTCTCTTTGATATCCCTTGGTATCGGTTACTCCTCCTTGATGGTGTTGTTGGCTTCCTATGTGGTGGGGCTGCTCCTGTGTTCTAGATCTATGGTTTTTTTGTTTAATGTTTTATGGGCTTTTGTTTCTCACTATTAATGAATAGAGTTTCCCTGACCCAAAAAACAAAAAGACAACCTCAAACCACACCTAGCTCCATCCTTGTTTGTATGACTAATGATTTTAGCAATCCTATGCTCCTCTCATACACTCCACATGCGAATGTGTAAGGAACATGATAAATTATTAGTTTCGATTGCCGATGGATAAATGAAAAGGGTAAAATACATCATACTTTTTCCTTTTAAGAGTTTAAAGTCGTAAATTAATTAGAAGAAGTGTAAAATGATATGAATTTTAAGGTAAATGTTAATGATAGATATTCATACACGTATGAATAATTGTCAATTGTTAATATATATATATGAATTTATAATAAAATTCATACACATAATCAACGAGTAATAATCATTTCACACATAAAAATCGTCTAAAGCGAACCTTTCACAATCACTATATTCTAGTATTTAATAAAAGTCTCGTTTTCCTAATTAAAAAATCATGTAAAGTGAGAGAAAATGGGAAGCAATCTACTTGTAAAGGTTGACTAAATGGACTGCGGGGACTATAACTCTATGGCACGCGTTCCGTATGTAACATGTGCACATAACATAATCTCTACTATTATAAACCCAGGCCTCGACCTTTTCAACTGGACAGTATTTTATGGATTAATTTATTAAATTGCATATATAGTTTGTTGGCCTGCCACCTAAATCACTTTATTCATAGTTGACATTTTAGCGAATTCATTGCTGTAATGTAATCCCTTATATCTAATAAATAAAAGTAGGCATCATCTATCACGACTCACCAAAAAATGAAATGAAAGAAAAGTAGATGTAAATTGTTTAACCATTTCATTTAGATGACATTATTCAATAATGATTTCAATATCATGCAAATAATTTAAATAAGTTATTTAACCCGACTTCTTTTGTACCAAATTACTCAATACATACGCAGTCGCATATTTATTCGCATATTTATACATAACTGTAACTGTAACTAACGACTTAGTACAACAATCAATTTCACACCAGATTTTAACGTCCACATCAAAATCTACGATCTGAAATTCTTACCATCTTTTTCAGATAATAATATACAGTCCAAATAAAAATAAAAAAGACAGTTGCAAACATAGACAGAAACCCTTCAAAACTTCCCAACCTACCTATCATTTCTAACCCATTATCCACTCATTGATAGAAACCTTACGAAGTTCCTCAAATTGTGGCTTGTTTGGCTCCATTGAGTTGCATTGAGTTGGGGTTCTGGATAATTTTCCCATATTTGAAATCCCTCTCATCGTCCACCTTCTTGTCGTCCTACAAAGAAAGCACCAAATTCCTCCTCCAGAAATTCAAACTTGTAATTTGGGATTTGGAATCTTCACCGAAATCGAAGAGACAGAGGAATCGAAGTCACGGGGTGCGTGGATTCGGGGTTTGCCTAGAAAGCTACCAAGACTAGTTGTGGGTTTGGTTTGGTGTCGGATTAGCATCCAGGTTCATTGAACCAAATTAGGTCTTTGTCTTGCAGACTTCAATGACACGATTCTGTGGTACACGCCGTTTGGCAATAAAAGCACTAATTTGAATTTGATTGTAACGCGGAAAACGATCACAGCTGTAAAAACCTGACCAGGTTCAATGAACCTGACCAAGTTTGTTCTTTTTGAAATTTTAGTGTTACGTTTCACCAAATCCAACCATCATGATGTATGTAGACATACATGATGATTAGATGAGATGGACATGCATGGTATGGATATAGTTTTTGCCGCTAATACATAATTTTTGTAATAAATAATGTAATCAAGTTTACTTATTTGAAGTAATCAAAGTTTTAATTTCTTCTAAAATTGTGTTTTAATTTAAATAAAATAATTACAATATATGGCCAAAAAAAACCTATTTATGAGCTAATCTTTGATATTTTTTTTTTCCTTACACAATGTGAAATATATTGTAACCACACAAGTTAACATATTCGTCATCATGCAAGATAAGGAAGATAAGATAAGATGAGATCGTGAATTGACAACAAATGATTCTTATAATTCCACACGATTTTGTGGTAGCGAAATTTCCACATTTGTGTTTTCATTTACGTAACAATGTGTCGAAAAATATTATTCCTAAAATATTAAAAGAAACTTGAAAGTTATACCTATATATGGCGAAATAATAAATATAATGAGTATTGGTTAATTTTAAATTTTGTTAAATTAAACATAAGCTAACAAATGTATAACTATTACTCTTTCAAACTATTCTTAGTATGCCATTATTGACCTTTATATGAGCAAAGTGAATGGAACAAAACCCACTTTATGTATCATATTAGTTCTTTAATCAGTCAAAAAATTTGACTTATACCCTTGGATCAAAATCTTGGTACTTTGACACCTAGAATTTGTCTCACCCTTAGATTTGACACCCATCTAGATATTCCAATGTGTTTTTTTTTCTAGACCAATTCTTTTATTATTAATACTTTTTTGAACAAAAATATTTATGCTAAAAAATTGAGATTTTATTTTGTTTAGTGTAAAAAAACAAAGGAAAGTATTCCAATAATATAACAAAATTAATTATGCTCATAAAAAAGAAATAAAAATAAAAATTTACTTTAAAAAAAAGCTACTTGGCATGTATCATGATGTGATAGATGCACATGATACAAAATTCATGCCACATACATCAACAAGCTGTCTCAAGCAGGCATTCCATGCTACGCGTACGCGGGCTTCTGTTTCCTCTGCTTCGAAGGCCTATAAAAGCGCTTACTACTCTCGCTCCTCACACCGACACCAAACCAAATAAAGAGAAGGCGAAGAGATACCAGAGAGAGAGAGAGAGAGAGAGAGAGAGAGACAAACGAAGAAGAAGAAAAAGCCCCAATTCTGAAGCTAAACCCTAATCACGTTTAGCTTCCCCTCTTTTCGTTTCTCTCTTTGTCGTCGTGCCATTGCAAAATCAAAGAGCGTCGATTTCTCGCTTTCTCCTTCAGACCACCAGGGCCTTCTCCAAACGCTTGCTCTCATTGTTTTTTTGGGGAAATTTCTGCCATCTTCTTTGTAAGCTTTCGTTCCCTCTGTTTTTTTTTTGGTGAAATTTCGATTTTTTCTGGTTGCATAACAATGCCGGTGGTTTTCTCCTTTTCCACTCTTATTTTGTGTCGTGATCTGCACCTTCTGCTTGGATGCTGAGAAAAAGGGGGAAAATGGAAAATTTTGAACTTCGTGTTTTCTTTGTTTGAGTTTCCAATTAATGTGAATGTCAATTTCTAGCTCCTAAAATGTCGAGTGCATTTATAGTTGCCTTGTCTTTCTGAGATTTTATTGAATGAAAAACCCAAAACTTTCCACATTAGCAACGATTTAAAGATATTTAATCAAGTCTTTTGATCTGCATCATTGCACTTAGTTTGGCTGATTCAGAAAAGTTGGGCAACTTTTTTTCCTTAAAAGAAGAAGAAAGCTTGAAGCTTTTTAATTTTTAAATATACACATAACTTTCACAAAGTAGGGCATCGTCGCGCTTGGTAATAGAAAGTTCGTGATTATTATAAAATGTTCTAATTTAGACTATTTAAACACAGTTTGTGACCTTTTTACCATTGTTCTTTCTCAGGAGTTATACACAACCATGGTATTTTGGGTTTTTGGATATGGTTCACTTGTGTGGAACCCTGGTTTCGAATACGACGAGAAAGTGATAGGTTACATCAAGGACTACAGGCGTGTATTTGATCTTGGTATGTCTCACTAGTATTCAGGAAGAAATTGTACATATTGTTATAACTTATACTTTTCAATTCCTTTTATGTCATTATAATATATTGCCACTGATTCTGTTCATTTGTTTTCCATTTGTTAAGCATGCATTGATCACAGAGGTACCCCTGAGCACCCTGCTCGAACTTGCACTTTGGAGTACCAAAAAGGAGCTATTTGCGTAAGTAACATCTTAGACTATTACCTTTCATGATTCATATTCGTTGGTTCTGATAGCATCGGAATAATGCTTCAGCTTTTGTTATCAAATGTTCTTTCTTTCTTACCTTCAAATTCTTCCAACAGTGGGGTGCTGCTTATTCTGTACGCGGAGGGCCTGAAAGGGAAAAACTGGCAATGGAGGTATATGCTTCTTCAAAATCAAAATTTATCATTGTTGTGATATATTTTTCTGTTGAGAGTGTTCACCCGAGATAAATTTGACATTATTTGTTGGTGTTTTGGCGGGGCAGTCATACCCTACTTATCTAATAGACATACTTCTTATCCTCTTTTACTATTAGTTGCAAATTTTACGTACGTCTTATCTAATTGGAATGTTACATTTATTTGCTTCTCATTTGCAGTACTTGGAAAGGAGAGAATGTGAATATGATTCAAAGACCCTTGTGAACTTTTATAAGGTAAGATTAGTTTTAATATTACTCCACCTTCATGCCCGAAAGTTGGAATTGCCAGCTTTCTTAGTATTTGTGAATTTCTAATTATTATTTTTGTACTGTTTGTCATAACATGTGCTTTCTGTGGTGTGCAGGAAGGGGACTTCTCTGAGTCTGAGCCGTCCTTGACAGGAGTGATTGTGTAAGTCATTTTGCTGTAGATTCATCAATTCCCGCATCTCATTAAATTCATCCTTTGTAAAATTGCTCCATAATGTAAGAGAAGAAAGAAACAAAAACGCATTACAAATTTGTTTACAAAAATTGTTTTCGGGATGTTTTCCTAACCTAACCTGTTCTTGATATTGCAGTTTCACATCCACTCCAGACAAGGAATCAAACAAGTATTATCTGGGTCCTGCTCCATTGGAGGATATGGCAAGGTAATATAGATTGCAATTCTTCTTTTCTTGTTTTGGTGGTGCGATGGTGGGTGTAATTATTTGTGTGATAAAGTTATTTTCCCTCAATGGCACTCCCTGATGACCGAGTATTTTTCTTCAGGCAAATCGCCACTGCATCTGGGCCCTGCGGAAACAATAGAGACTATCTCTTTCTATTGGAGAAGGCTTTGTTTGATATTGGTGAGCAATCTTTTCTTACATTACCACAAATCCTTCAGCATTAAGACATGACAAGCTTTTCTTATTTCTTCATTAAATATGTGACTAAATCAAAGAATTTGTAACGTGAACAGACCATGAAGAGGACTATGTGATTGAGCTTGCAAATGAGGTGAGGAAGGTACTTGGAAATCTGAAGGAGAAGAAATCGGCTGGTCCAACCCACCTCCCACTCAAGTCCCACATCCCACCCCTTCAACTGCATCCACTTCCCGAAGCCATCGCCATGGACTCATAACATTTGAACACAAGACAACGATAACAGAAAGAAGATTGATGATAAAAATGGCGGAGCCTATGCTGTGCTGAGAGTGCTTCTAACCCTCATATCCCTACCCCTTGTTTTAATTTCCTTTCCTTTTGGCTTAATTCCCACTAGAAGAGAAGACATATGTCTTTTTTTTCTTCTGTGTTTTTGGTAAGCTTATTTCAGCGGCCTGCTTAGCAGATGGGGCACCATTTCTAGCCTCGTAGAAGAGATTAGGTTTGAGTGCGGCAAAAACACATGGTTTGGTTGGTTAGGAATGAATATGAGGATGATAACTAACCTCTTCTTTTCCTTTATTCTTTCCTTTTTGAAAACTATGTCGGATGTAACGTTTACAGTCATTTTAATTTAAAGAGTGTTTCCAATTTCTAATCTTCAATAAGTTTGTACGTGTGGAATATGTGAGGATGGAGGGATGTAACAGTCCCAATAGTGGGCTTAGCACTTTTGATAGATATTTGAATTTTACAATATTATTTTATCTGAGTGACGCTAAAGTCGATTCTTAAATTCAATCTCTACCACCTCTATTCTCACTTCCACCTAATATTAAAAATAACTTATCCGAATAATTTTTTTTGGGACCTTATAAGTGTCTTGACCCTTTATTCGATCTAGGTACATGAGTCTTTGTATCAAACGAAAAAAGAGAAGGTACACGAGTCTTTCCACATGTAAAATAAATTAAAATAAAAGAGTTTGGTAAGTTTGGTAAGAGCAATGAGTCCACCCTTGTGCAGTTGGGCTCGAAGTTCCCTCTTCGTAGATTAATTTACAATATCTCATAGCCGACAAAACAAAAAGGGTATATACCAAAATGGTCTCGTGTTGTACCATTTTATCGACAAAACAACTCGTTTGGTACGCTATATTAGACTCTGGATAGGAGTAAATAGTCCA